AAAACATTACCATGGTACGTTTTACTAACAGCCTCGTAGGAATACTCAACTTCTTCGTCTTCCTCTTCTCGGTTCCGATTCTCATTACCGGAATCTGGCTCAGCCTTAACGGCTCAACGCAATGCGAGAGATTCCTCGACAAACCCATGATCGCTCTCGGTGTCTTCCTAATGATAGTTGCAATCTCAGGAGTCGTTGGATCTTGCTGTAGAGTGACATGGCTCCTCTGGTTTTACCTCTTTGTTATGTTCTTCTTAATCATCATCCTCCTCTGTTTCACCGTCTTTGCTTTCCTCGTCACTAATAAAGGATCCGGTGAAACTATCCCTGGAAAAGCTTATAAGGAGTATCGGCTCGATGTTTACTCTGATTGGTTAGAGAAACGTGTGAACAACGCTAAGCATTGGAACAACATTAAAAGCTGTATTTCCGAGTCCAAGTACTGTGTACACTTGGAGTTGTTCTCTGATCATGAGCCTGTTTCTGCTTTCTACAAAAAGGATCTCTCTGCTCTTGAGGTAACCGATCTTTTAAAACGCCAATTTGAGATCGATAGGTCAAGAAGTTGTCCTTTTTAGGGTTATAGCCTGACCCTTTTCGTCTTCATACACAAAATTTTGTTTTTTTGTTACCAAATTTTGAAGGTATGCATTTGATCATGTGGAGTCTCTTTTTAATTATGATACCGATATTCTCAAAGCTTTTGGTGCATTCTTATTTCCTAGTTATATAATGAATCTAAAAGCTTTATAGTCTAATCATTTGATTGAATTTTATTGTTTGTGTTTACAGTCTAGAGGTAACAACTCTGATTAAAATTTAGGCCAATTTGATTAGTAGAATTTAAGAAAGGTATAAGCTCTGGTATAGAATCAGAATCGACAGGTAGAAAAGTTACATTTTTAGGGTTTTAGGCCTGACTTTTTTCTGGATCATAATTTTTCTACCAAAGTTTTCATTTTCTGAAAGTATAAGCAATGCATAATCTTATTCTTCAATCTCTTGAGATTTGGAAAAAAATCCAAACTTTTCACAATGTAAAGCTCCATTGTTATTTACAATGTATCTGAGTATTGATTCTAATGCTGTGATTGAATATTGATTTTTTTGTTGTTTGTTTGTTTACAGTCTGGTTGTTGCAAGCCCTCTAATGACTGTAACTTCACATACATTAGCCCAACGGTTTGGAACAAAACATCAGGAGCACATAAAAATTCAGATTGTCAACTTTGGGACAACGATTCCTCGAAGCTCTGCTACAATTGCCAAGCTTGCAAAGCCGGTTTTCTCGACAACCTCAAGAGCTCATGGCAAAAAACTGCTATTTCCAACATCATCTTCCTTTTTATCCTCATTATCGTCTACGCTATGGCATGTTGCGCTTTTAGAAACAACAAGAGAGAAGAGAGTTATGCGCGTTCTAATGGATCTCCCTACAATCCTTGATTTCATCGGTTGTTCATTTTGTTTGGAGTATGTTTAGTCTTTTTAATGCTATGCTTTTGATTTTTATGTAATATCTCATTTTTAAGGTTATTAGAGCAAACATCATTTTAGAAACATAAGAATCAAAGAATCAAAGACTTGGCTCAGTTTAGTTGTTGCTGAGTTTGGATTTCTTCGGTTGAATTGTGTTTGGACAGAAGGGGATTCTTCAGGTCTTGGTTACATATTGTTGTGTTTGAAGAATCTTCAA